TGTGCTAGTTTTCCTGTCACACCTGAAACTACAAAAAGTTACAGCCATAATGCAACATAACTACTTAGGAAGAAAAAAACATTTGCTTTGGGGACTGAAGACATGAACAGAAACGTTTCCCAACTGACAGCAGTCAGGTTAGTACCAGCCACAGTTTCAGGTACTCACTGGGGGTCTTAGAATGGATCCCCTGAGGATAAGTGGGGACCACTGCATAAGAAAAGGTTCTTTTCCTTAGGAAAAAATCCTGAATCAGTGATAAAGGAACATGATGTCTCCAACTTATCTCAAACAATTTGGAAAAAATGTATTTATTTGCGCATGCATGCACACGTGTAGGTGTATGTGTTATGTACATGTGTGTCTATGTGAAGAAAGAGAACGATAAAGCAAATACAACTTGTGGTGAATCCAGATAAAGGCTTTACAGAAGTTCCTTATATTATTCAAAATTTTAAAAATCAAAACAAAAACTTACACTCCCCCCCCAAACAAAGGCAAAATAATTGCCTTGATTATAGCAGACACTGAACAACATATTCTTGAGATAAAATGAAACATACAACAGAAAACATAGTCATTTTTAAAGCCGAATTTTAAAGCACTGTTTTATACCTCAAGGTACCATAGAGCTTTGATTAAAATGATAGCTACCTTGAATTTTTTACACATATTCTTAAGTTTATACCTTACAAACATATTTCCAGTATCAGCTCTAAAACAGAGAGCAGAGTGGTTAACAACAGGGCTCTGGACTCATATAAACACAGGCCTAAATCCCAGTGCCATCACTTCTTGGCCGGCTTTTTTTTTTGATACAGTGTCTTGCTCTGTCGCCAGGTGCCAGGCTGGAGTACAGTGGCATAGTCTCAGCTCTCTGCAACCTCCGCCTCCCAGCTTCAAGCAATTCTCCTGCCTCAGCCTCCTGAGTAGCTGGGACTACAGACGTGCGCGACCACGCCCAGCTAATTTTTATATTTTAGTAGAGACGGGGTTTCACTACGTTGGCCAGGATGGTCTCGATCTCTTGACCTTGTGATCCGCCCGCCTCGGCCTCCCAAAGTGCTGGGATTACTGGCATGAGCCACTGCGCCTGGCCTTTTTTTTTTTTTTGAGATGGGGTCTCGCTCAGGTCTCCCTCTGTCACCCAGGCTGGAGTGCAGTGGTGCAATCACGGCTGGAGTGCAGTGGTGCAATCACAGCTGACTGCAACCTTGAACTCCTGGGCTCAACGGATCCTCCCATCTCAGACTCCCAGATAGCTGCGACTACCGGCTAATTTTGTTTGTTTGTTTTAAACAGAGATAGGGTCTTGCTTTGTTGCCCAGGGGGCTCTCAAACTCCTGGCCTCAAGTGATCCTCCTGCCTCAGCCTCCCAAAGTGTTGGAATTACAGAAGTGAGTCACCACTCGCCTTCGCTGGCTAATTTCAGGCAAGTTACTAAATCTCTCTGAGCCTGAATTTCCTCATTTAAAAAATACGTATTATAATAGTTTCTAACTGTGAAGACTTTTTGTGAAGATATCAAAGAACAATACATGAAAAGAACTCAGCACATTCAGGCTGGGTGTGGTGGCTCATGCCTGTAATCCCAGCTGCTCAGGAAGCTGAGGCTGGAGAAATGCTTGGATCTGGGAGGTAGAGGTTAGTGAGCCAAGACTATGCCACTGTACTCCAGCCTGGGTGACAGAGAGAGACTCCATCTCAAAAAACAAAACAAAACAAAACAATTCAGCACATTCAGAATGCGTGTTGTTCTTATTTTTTTTTAGAATATCAAAAGAAAAGTATTATTTAACCTAAAAGATAATGAACTAAATGCCGAATCTCTTCTGACATGGAGGCTATGATCTGCCTCTTTCTAAAAAGTAAAGGCAAAAAAAAGCTATGAGTCAAAGGGGACCAGCTCAGTGTTTAAAAGTTAAAATGTAAATAAAACATAAAATTCCCCCTTCAACTAGATTCCAATGTTAAAATACTTTTAGAATAGTATGTTACGTATTCTTTTAATTTTATTTAATGTATTAAATAATGTATTAATTTTTAAAGTTTATTATTTAATGTATTTAATAATTCATTAAAGAATATGTACCTTTGGTTCTGCTTGGTTTACTCAAGTATATTATGTTCAATAGGTGAGATTTAGACATTTTTAAAAAACATCCTTAACACCTGTTTGGATTTCTGTAAAGAAGAACTACTTAACTACATGGAATCTGCAAGCATTTTTTTTTTTTTTTTTTTTTTTTTTTTTTTTTTTTGAGATGAAGTCTTGCTCTATCGCCCAGGCTGGAGTGCAATGGTGTGACTTCAGTTCACTGCAACCTCCGCCCACTGCAACCACCACCTCCTGGGTTCAAGCGATTCTCCTGCCTCAGCCTCCCAAGTAGCTGGGACTATAGGCACCTGCCACCATGCCCAGCTAATTTTTGCATTTTTTAGTAAAGATGAGATTTCACCACATTGGTCAGGCTGACTCAAACTCCTGACCTCAGGTGATCCACCCACCTGGGCCTCCCAAAGTGCCGGGATTACAGGCATGAGCCACCACGCCCAGCCTGCAAACATTTTTAAGAGTAGCAAAATTTTATTAAAGTAAGAAATCATAAATTCTGTCATTTATCAGAATTTATAAACTCACAGGCCTTCATAGGCCAAGTATCAGCAATAGGGTAGGGAAGAATGAGACCACAATGAGTGGACCTAAAAAATACTCTGCCTAAAGGCACTCACATTTGAGTTTTGTTTCATTTTTAAACATTGTGCCACAAATGTTCAGGCTGAGTTCAGCTCAGGGGGCACCTGTTTTGACCACTGATTTTCAGATTTTAAGCCCTCAGAACCTTGAGATATATACTTGTATGTATATTTGGTGTCTTATAAAAGATAATAGAAAATTTCTGAAAATGAACACTCATGCACATCAGACACACAGGGAAATTTCTCACACCTATAATCCCAGCACTTTGGGAGGTTGAGGCGGGTGGATCAGATGAGGTCAGGCATTCAAGACCAGTCTGGCCAACACGGCAAAACCCATGTCTACTTA